GAGAGAGAGAGAGAGAGAGAGAGAGAGAGAGAGAGAGAGAGAGAGAGATGGAGAGAAGAAGTAATAAGAATTAAGAATATGAAGGTATTTAATCTTTACTTTTTCAGGTACATGTACATGCAAATGGACTCACTGCTTCAGCGTTTTTGGCCACTACTAGTGAAACTATATGAGAAGCAGATACTGTAGTGCTTTTCTTCCTAAAAAAGACAAAAAACATATGCAGCAATTATATTGTACATCAATACATGATAATTATACACCCTACATGTACATGTAATGTATGTTAAATGGTATGTGTGGTTATGTAAAATCCACAATCCTTGCTACATACATATATGTATATGTACATGTACATGCTTAGTGTAAATTTTAACTTATTTTTACAAATCACCAAATGCACATAATATTATACATGTAAATCCCACAAAAATACATGTAGCTCCAACTGTACTATAACAAATAATGACATTTTTGACTTCTTGGGAGCTGCTTCTGGATATTTAGCATAAAACTTCTCCAGTTCTTTCTTATATGCCTCCCTCTTTTGTCTCGAGATGTCTTGATATTTCTTTTTCTCGTCTGCGGTCATCTGTCGCCAAACCTCCCCCATTTTTCTTGCAATATCAGGCTGCGACGTCTTCGGGTGCTTCTTGAGAAACTTCTGATTTTTTCGATGATAGAAAACCATGTATGGGGAGAGAGGCTGTTTGGGGGCTAAATGTTTATACTAAAAATAAAAAAAATAAAATTATTTAAAATTAAAATTATTTCAATTATTTTCTCAAAGTTTACGTGGCTTTTTTAACTTAGTAAATTTGCCTATAAAAAAATTATTTTGCGAATTTTAATTTTAGCAAAATGACGTTGTCTACCCATCTTCTACCATAATAAATTGATTATAGGGAACTGATTTTAAGAAATCGTAAAGAAAAATTTAGCAACAGTTGTTTACACAAGTGTTAATGAACAGGAAGTGAATGATGTCATTATGATGTTGTGGTTAGTAACCCACAATAGCCTCACCAGTTTTATCAGCATTTAAAGACAACAATGCTCCTGGTTAAGCGACTTTTGCAGCTTGCAAATCATACTTCGGACACTTTCACTGATCAATTTTTTGGAGGAGCAATTAAATTAAAATTGACTCCGAAAATAAAGTTTAATATAATGCATACAATAATACAATTACATCATTACATCATAATATAATTTAATAGAATACTTTCTCTCTCTCTCTCTCTCTCTCACCTTTTTCTTTGTTGCTTCTTCCTCAAGTTTTTCAACACTGGTTGCAGATAAACCTGACAATCCCTTCATCACATCTTCAAGACTTTCACTCGGATACTATAAAACAAAATGAAACATCAAAAAACTATGCATGCACCATGTATATATATGTACATTAGTGCTACACGTAGCTATAGCATTGTGCATTAAAAAGAATTGGTTAAAGTCCATGTACTACATGTGCATGTGCATGTACATGTATATCAATGCTATATAGCATATATTGTACATAAAAAGAATCGGCCAAAAATGACTAGGAGAGAATTTTCCATTTTTATAATTTTTTCTCTGATATATATATACATCTTCTTATGTTGTGTAGACTTTACAGGAACTTTACGGTTAAAATCTCATCAAATATAGTTAGTAGAGAATTCTTCATTCTTATTTTATACACTGATTAATAATAACAAGAGTACATAATTTACAGAGAGTGTCTAACCGCACTATAGTAGCTGAAACATGACCGCGTAGAACTAAGTCACGTGAGACCAGAAGCGTGGGTGTACTTACTAAAAAACACATGTAGAAGTTAACATAAAAACAGTGGAGAAAACTTGAAGAAGCTTTAGATATCATACTAGTACACTTTATAATGCCGCTGAAGTCTGATATGCAGTACTGCTATAGCAGAGGCACCAAAACAGCCAGTAAACCTTGTTGAGCAAACTTGGCAGCCATTTTTTCCTACTCAGCCACACCCAGTATGCGGGAATGCCCAAAGATGCACAAGAAAAGGCTACGCGGTGATGTTTCAGCTATTATAGTATGGTTAGACACTCTCTGTAGATTATGTACTCTTGATAATAATAATAGCAAGGCTGCAAAGTCGTGGCAGCCATTTTGTTTGGGGATGAATCCTACTTAGTAACGCTACCGCGTTACTAATAATAATAATAATAAATAATAAGTACCTGTTTTCTTATGTACCACCAAATCTTTTTCAAGTCACTCTCACTAAAAAGATCCTCAGACCATTCCCTCCATTTTATCAAACCTTCATCTTCAAATCTTGGATCCAACGAGCTGTCCATTGCCTTCTTCAAGCAGCTGGATATTGTAACACCAGCAATATGGTACAACCAATCTATGGGGCATTTAATGATATTCATAGGATAGAATTAGAGCTGGATTTATTAGTGAAGAATTAATATTGGTAATATTGGGTAGTTGCAGTTGGTACCTTATAGCGGGTTTATTTCGAGGATTATAATTTTCACGAATTGCCATCTTATACCGTACTAACTGATTTTCAAGAAATTTAATTTTCCAAATCTTCAAAAATCCGCATAATTTGTGAAATTTGTCATCCTTGAAATAAACCCACTATACGGTATCTGCCAATATAATTGCAAAATTGCCAAATTTAGCTCCCACCAGAAGACTATAATATGATAAGTACAATAGGTTGGGGACAAAGGTCAATTTGCAACTTTTTGAAGCTTTGAGTTAGCTTTTACTTTTCAAAGGCCCAGTATAAATTAGCACTCAGCTATTGTCAAATGTTTACATCATATGTGACAAAACCAGGCTACCTGCTCCAAAACTGAAAATTGAGATTTATGCTTTTCTTAAATAAGCACAGTTTTTTCTTCCTTTTGGTCTTTGTTCCATATCATTTGGCACATGTAGTGCTAAGTTATGATTACTTATGCAAATAGAAGTCTAAACGGATACAATAGATTTTTATCATTATATTATCTTGCATTATTTACATGGTGCACAACAGAAAGGTCTATAAATAACCTGTTTTAACTTCCATATCTCTAATTGATAATTCCCGCAGATAGCCTGGTTTTCTCAAATTGGGTCACATATACTGTCAGAGCTATAATTATGATAGTTTATAGCCACCACATTCAATAGCATTAGGATTGCAATAAAATTAATTATAATGGAACTGATTTTTATAATATGCATGTACGTAACTCTTGTGGTACAGGGACAGTAGGGACTTTAAAAAATAATTAAAATTATGGGAAAGGAAAATAAATTTATAATAAACAATAGAATTATTGTTATTCATTAAAACATAATTATAAGTGTGCAGTTGCACCTGTAACATAATTTTCTTAATTATAATTACTGACCATTTTGTTTCACAGGTCGATAAGGAGACGACACAGGGTACTTCATGACTTTCGTCTCAACAGGTTCTTGGGATTTATTGTCAGTTTTTCGCTTCTTTGACTTTGGGACGTCAACCTCGTTCTCAGGATCCAAAACTAAAAAAAACACCAAATAAAATTAATTCTAAAAATGAAATAGAACTAACTATATTCAAATTGTAATTATAATATAATAGTATAGTTTAAAAATATACTTCAAAAGTAAAAATAGATTTAAAATAAAAGTACCATCTCTAATGTTTATGGTATCCTCATCGAGTGTATCCTCTTCTTCAGCTGGAGTCTTCTTTCTTTTCTTTCCCTTTTTACTTTTCTTTTCTACTAAAAGAGACGCCATTATACACTAATACTACTTTGAAACTTTTACTTTCGACATCAGTGTCCGCTTTTGCTTTGCTTTCCTGGTGGCTATCAACCTTGGCGATGGCATCTTTTGCTTTCTTGGAGATGTGGGTGACACTCGCCATCTTTCCATAGGCTTTCCAAGACAACGTGGTCAGTCGGTTTCCTGGGGGCCCTCCGAAGTGGGACCGGGGATTGTTAGCGGATCGGTGGCTCCGAAAGCAACCGAGCTATCGATGAAAATGGTACATAAAATTTAAAAATGTTTTTTTCCATACTCTTTCTGAAAATAAATATACATATTATTGTTACTGTACAAAGCAATGAATAATAAACAGCAATAACAATAATAATACCAACAAAAACCACTTAATAATAATATTAATAATAATAATAATGTAGCATCATTGAAAATGAAAATTTAATTAAATAATAATCATTAGTACTGGTATTGAATGTACAATAATATGATGATAGTTAGCCTCATTAATACTTAAACTCCATTTCTTCTCCTATCAATAATAATCCGACATTATACTTGAAGCATTCTCCATCTCGACACACTTCAAGGTACTACAGTGATTACCACTATCATGAGAACGATTAACGATAGAATCAATCGCCTCGTAATTCCCGGCTATCAAAACGACCACACCCATACAGAATATCACCAAGGCAGTGATGTCCTTCCATACGGAGCACTGGAGGTATTGCTTGAATAGAGATGTGGAGGATTCTCCGGCTGCTTTGAGACGTACGAAGAAGTGAAGGCGGAGAAAGAAGATTGAGGGTAAGATGTAGAGTACGAGGGAACCGCCTATGGAGCCGACGAAACTCCACACGTACGCAACCTAGTAATAAATAATAACATAATAATAATGTTATTTTTTTCTTAATAATACCGTATAGCGGGAAATTTGGGAGGGAGTAGAATTTGGTGAATTGCTACATTTTGGTGATTGGCAGATTTAAATTTGGTGAATTAGTGGCCACGTGACATTGAGCATGGGTATATTGGCTCAGAATGGTGGGTTTTATTTTGGCAAATGGCAATCAAAATGACAATGTGCCAATTTTAATTTCCTCCAAAATTTTCCGCTATACGGCAATAATAATAATAATAATAGTAATAATAATAATAATAATAATACTGATGTTCACGGGTGAAACCAGCTCAAAATTAAAAAAAATAAATAAAGTACATGTACATATGTATGGACATGTACTTTGTAAAGATTAAGAGCAACTTTAAAGATTTGTAAAAAACCAATTTTGATGTAGTTGATCATTTTGATGTGACACTGCACAACATGCAAATGTAAAAGATCACAAAGCAAAGGTGAGCTGAACTAAACAAATAATGGTTTTCTCTACAGGATAAAGTAAGCCCTGCCAGGTGTATAGTGTAAATGATACAAAGTAAACTGCTGTGGTTAGGACGACCCACAATAGCCTCACCAGTTTTAACAGCATTTAAAGGCACTGCTCTCCCACAGCTTGTATGGCCTAGTTGAATAGTAGAGCTTCAAAAGCTGTAAAAAAATTTTTGGGGGAGCAAAAACCATGCTCCTTAATGAAACTTGTGAAATAAATATTAATAACCAAAAATATTGTATTATAGCCTTTAAAGTGAGCAATACATGTAATTGGTAATAATATTAATCAATTTTTATTGGAAGCAGTCGAGCAGCTAAAACTTGCTACACATCAGGGAAAATTATAAAAATAGAAAATTCTCTCATAGTCATTTTTTGGTCAAATTTGGCCAAAAAGACCCTGTACTATGTATGCAGTACAGCCAAAGACTCCAAAACTAATCCAGAAATAAAGAAGAACCCCATAATGCAACTATACCAAGTTTCAACTTAGCATTAAGAACAGAAAAGTTATAAGGGTGTTTCCACAACTGAAAGCAACTATACATGGACTATACATAAAGCTGAGTTAAACTAAACAAACATGGTTCTACATGGTCAGCCAGGCATGTAGGATAAATGTATCTAAGTAAACTGTAAACTGCTGCGGTTAGGACCCGCAATAGCCCCATCAATTTTAACAGCATTTAAAGGCACTGCCATCCTTCAGCATCAAGCCTTGAATTTATATAGTTGTAGATGACAAATTTTTGGGAGGAGTTATCATACTCCTACATGTACATGTAATTCTAAATCTTAGTGATTAATAAAATAATAATAATCATAATAATCAAAAGTATTCCATTAACAAGTGAAGTGAACAATTGGTATGGTAGAATTAATGCTACAGGTCACCAATTGTCACAAAAAAGATTTTCATTAATAGCCAAAAATTTTTTGCTTATTTAAGCACTGCCAGATTCTTTCAATTAATATTCATTGATTTGTTAATTAATTGATTCCAGCCCTGCCCACACTCACGTTTGGTATAAAAGCGGCCGCAAGAAAACTAACGGCAAACATTACCCACGTCTCACACGTCCAGACCAACCAGTTTGGTTTCTAAAAAAATTAAATTAAATGTAAAAAAATTATGAATGCACATGTATTGTACATGTACATCTACACGAAATTAATATTAATTTTGTAAAATGGCTGAAATATGAGCAATTAAAATGGACACTTTAGCATACGTAATTACTCATTCAAATATCACATGCTGTTTTCTTACGTGCATTAATAATAATGATGTACATGTATTCATATAAAAAAATAAATAATATCTAATGATACTTTTTGTACATCTTATACCGCAGGCCGCACCTTTTTTCGAAGGCTGTAAATTTCGCGGATTTCACAATTTTTTGAAGATTTGTGAGAATTACATGTACTTCCGCAAAAATCAAATTATCACTGTACAAGATGGCAGATAGCATAAATTTACAAAAATTAAATCAGCAAAATAGATTTTCAAGCCAATTCGCGAAATTTACAGCCCTCAAAAAAAGGCGGCCTACGGTACTTACCAATTCCTTCCTTTCAACAGTGTTATCTTTCCTGTACTTCAACAATCGAGAACGCAAGCTTGATGATATCAATAGCTCAGTAGTTTCATCAGTTTGATCGCAATTAAGATTGTTACTTGAACCACGATTGGAGTACAACTCATAGCAGTACGATACAAGGCGATTGAGAGCTAGTCTGGTTGGATGGAAGAGGATCGGATAGCTGAAGAGGAGAGTTATGAAGAGTGCTATTCTAAGAGCTGTGACAAGACCATCAGTGGATGGATAACCAATCATTATGTCTTCTGGTGTCTGACCACCGAACTATAGAGGAGGAGAGAAAGAGGGAGGGAGGGAGGGAATGAGAATTACACGTATCTACAGTTCATGTACACATGTACGTTGTATATGTACATTGAAATAGTGGTACTGGGCTTTTTTATGTACTTATCGTCATTTTTCAAACAATGGCCAATTTCTGAAAAAATCCCTGTGCTATAGCCCATTTAAATCGGGTCATCACCCTCAAATCTCATTGAAAAAGATACGGTAATTTACACAAAGGAGCATAATAATAATACATTAGCCTAATAATAAAATAACAGAAGAACTAAACGCATAGTACAATAGTAATAATAATAATATGATAATAATAATAATAGTGGGTATATGATATAGTTCATGGTTTTTTCCAAAAAATGGCTAAAAAATCACCCACCATTTTTATTACATTTTTTGATACATATTGATGTACTTATGCTGTGTAGAAAGTTTAAGCTGATTCCGACTTCAATTTTTCAAGTTATGGTCATTTCAAAAAAAGAGCCAATTTCTGAAAAAATCCCTGTACTATAGCCCATGGTTTTTTCCGAAAAATAGCTAAAAAATCACCCCCAATTTTTATGACATTTTTTGATAAATATTGATGTACTTATGCTGTGTAGAAAGTTTGAGCTGATTCCGACTTCAATTTATTGAGTTACAGCCATTTTAAGAAAACGCCAAAATTCTGAAAAAATCCCTGTACTATAGCCCATGGTTTTTTGCGAAAAATGGCTAAAAATCACCCCCAATTTTTATTACATTTTCTGATACATATTGATGTACTTATGCTGTGTAGAAAGTTTGAGCTGATTCCGACTAAAACTTTTCAAGTTACAGCCATTTAAATCTTTAAAAATATACATGTAGTACAACTACATGCATGTACATGTGTATGGACTTACATTTAAATATCCAGAAAAAGCCACAATATTATACAAAGTGTAAGCGAGTACCATAGACGCCACTATGATGAAATTCAACTTCCATTGTCTTGGCCTATTCAATTCTTTCTCGAGGGAAAACAACTGGAACTGGCAAAGAAATGTCAAACTGCAGTAAGAGAGACAAGTAATGGCTCCTTTGAATGATGACGGGAAGAAACCGATGACGTCATCTTCATCGGAACGAATGGCTTGAAATGTAATGGGGTTGTCATCATGGTGTAGGTGCATACTGGTCTTGATGGCAATAAAGATGGTAAATAAAGCAACACAGAAGATACTGAGAGAAGAGAGAGAGAGGAGGAGGAGGAGGAGGAGGAGGAGGAGGAGGAGGAGGAGGAGAGAGAGAGAGAGAGAGAGAGAGAGAGAGAGAGAGAAAGGAGGAAATTAAATTTAAAAAGTGCCAAAATAAATATAGCACAAATTATTCAAGCCAAGCAATAATAACACAATTTGCTACCCACACTTTTAATTATAGTTTAACATTTAATTAACACTTCAATACATTGACTATATGCTCAAATAGCTAAACATGTACATGTACATGTATATAATTCTAATTAAAATATATCATTTCATTATTGATTAGCCAAGCAATAATAACACAATTTCTCACCCACATGCAAGTGTACATGTACATACATATATACAAGTACTTTTAATTATAATTTAAGAATTAAATTAACACTTCAGTACATTGACTATACACATGTATGTTTAACTAGCTAAACATGTACATGTACATGTACATGCACATATAATTCTAATTATAATTTTACGTTTAATTAATGATTAGCACACATGTACATGTACATTATCCTAACCTGGCTGTTGATGTGAACTGAAGCAGTGATATATTCTTGAGGAGTAGTATAGGGAATATTGGAATGAAAGCAATACAGAGGACAATGGAGCAATTGGTTAGGAGAGAACACCGAGGGGCGTGGTTAGATAAATGAATGAAGAACTGGATTATAAAACTTAACTAGAGGAAGAGAGAGAGGGAGGGAGAGGGAGGGAGGGAGGGAGAGAGGGACGGATGGACGGAGAGAGGGAGAGAGAGGGGGAGGGAGGGAGGGAGAGAGAGAGAGGGAGATGAAACTGAAACAGGAGCAGCTGCTTATTTTTATTAATAAACAATGGAGTCATAACAGCTCACAATTAATAAATTATCATTAATGAATGACAATAAATTATAATGCTTTGTTACAATGATAGATATTGTTTGCAGCTACATTACATGACAGCTGCTAAAAACAAAAATAAACATAATCAAACAATGAAAAGTACTCTAGCATGTAATTACATGTATATTGCGTATTGGAATTTTAAATATAAATCCCTCCCAATATAAAACATATTCCAATATTATAACATGTACAGTGTATATGTACATCTTTCTCTCTCTATACACTCATAATGGTGTTGAAAACAAGTCGTAAAGAAGGACTTTATTAGCACTAGAAGACGTAATAATATTGTACTGACTATTATAGTCTCTTACCTGATCCCTAGTGTATATCATATAAGCTATCAAAGCTAAGAATAGGAAACCAAATAGAACAATCAGGACGAAAATCTAAAAGAAAAAAATACACAAAAAATGTCATTAAATAATTACCAAATTGTTCATGTGTATATGTGTACATACAATTGTGACAAAAAATAAACCTGTTCATCCAAAAACAGGCTAATATTTAAGAGGGAGAGAGTGGTATAGTGAAGGTCTGGTGCCAATAAAAACGATTATTATCAATAACAACAATGTTGGTTTGTTTGGTTTTAAATCTAATTATGGTACAAAGACAGTGGTTAAAACTGTGGTCTATAATTATAAAGTATACCACTGACAGTATAATATCTAATATTAATATACATTTTGCTTTATTATTATATTCTATAATATATTAATACATGTACCAGCTAGGTTCTGCTTAAAAAAAATTAGAGGTGGTTGGAGACTAATATTGTTCCTTTTAATTTATGTACACCATACTAGTAGACTGCAATATCATACTTTATGTATGGCTATTAGTATTAATTGGATGGTTGGTCTAAGTGATGAACTGGTTGGTTCATTTGTTGAGGTGGTTGTCCCGACCACCCCCGACTACCATAGGGCAGAACTATGATGTACATGTACATGTATATATGTAATAAAAACCAAGAATCATGCTGCATTATAATTACATATTAGGATTCATTAACAATATGCTAGTTGTTTATTGGTTAATCTAATTCACATCTCAGTAACAATTTATCAACAATTACTACATGGTGCAACATTTGTTACTTCTCTCTAAAATACATGTGCAAGGTAAGTCCATTAAGAGGGAAATTTTAAAGGAAATTTCGGCTAACCAATAGATCAATTCGTCATCTTAAAACTGCTAACTTAAATCTATATATCATCCAAGTACAAGTACATATACATGTATGGTACTTTCCAAAACTAACTGCTACAGGACATCCTTCAAAAGAAAGAGATAAGACAATCGTACAATCACAGAGATCAAAGGTATCAAAGGTGCCAAAATTTACTCAGACCATGTACATACAATATAAGATGCAATGGCATACATGAACAGTATTCATTATTGCAGTTTGTATAGTACAGTTTTCTTACTCTTCCTACAGCACCGAACGAGCCTTCTGCCAAGTCCTCGTATCCCTTCACCTCCAGCCCCGGGCAGATCTCGTGCGAGTACTTCTTAGCATCGTAGAGAAGAAACCCGACCAGGATAGCCATTACCATGACCATGAAGAAGACTATGCTGCTGTAAATTAGGCCGCCTTGACTGAAAGCGTAAGGGAGGGCGAGGGTTCCAGCACCAATACAAGTCGTGAGGAGGTTAAAGATGGAGGAGAATATGGTCCCTTTAGAGAAATACCTCACGCAAGAAGAGAAAGAGTAACCACTTTCCTCTTCCATAGCCATGGTCTCCCTCATACTGAATGCTCGTGATTTCCGGATATTCCCGTATACTCACACATTAATGTTTTGACCACACAAAGTAATGGCTCCAAATTAATTAATTCTTACTACATTTTAAAATTTTATAAAAAAAGAGAAAAAAAAGATAGAGAGAGAGGTATTTCACAAGTCTGTTTTGTACATGTGTGTGTATCAATTCATTTGTAAAATGTCAAGGAGACAATTTGATGAGAAGAAGAGATATCTTAATTCTCTTCTTTCTTGATTTCGACAGTCTTTCAGTGTGAAAGGTCGTTAGCATCAAATTTTGCTTGATCGTAGAGCTCTGCCGTTATAACACGACCACCGAACCACCTCCCATTTAGCGACTTGACAGTACTCTCAGCTTCTACAGAACAAAAAAGAAGCAGTTATTATTAAAATATTATTTAATTAATTTCGACTATTTCCTTCTTGAATAAAATTGCTTTCCAAATAAAACTTGGCAAGTAGAGTTTGGCAAAATCTGAGCCATTTGCAATGATCCAAAAATCAACCATACAAAAGCAGAGTTGAAATTTTAGGAGTTTTAAGATGCCGTATAGCTTGAAATTTTCGTGGAATGTAAATTTCGTGATTTTCGTGGTTATGAGCTGCCCACGAAATTTAAACCCACGAAATCATTGAAGTGCCATCCCCTTACAGGCTATGTAAACTGTCAACCACGAAAATTAAACCACGAATTGCCCCACTAGGAGCAAACCACGAAAATATCGACCCAAGAAAATATCAAGCTATACGGTGTAAAACATGTAGTAATACATGTAATACATGTAGCATTTCTTGTTACCTGTTGGTTTAGCAAACACAACAAATATCTTGACAATAATATCAGCATCAGTCTCCAGCCCTTGCTTCTCCTGGTAAATCAGTACTTTATTAACAGTACCATACCTGGAGCACTCTGAGGTGACCTCTTCCTCAAGGTCATCATCAATGTCATCAAGTGTTACCATATTACGTAGCACAACCACTGTGGACTATTATATGGTAATGGGAGGGAGGGAGAGAGAGGAGGGAAAGAGGGAGGAGAAACACAGGAGGAAAGAAGAGAGTTTAATAAAGAGAAAGACATGAATCTACATTGTATACCCATTCTACTGTACATGCATGTACATGTATCATACTTAAAGCATCACAATAACTTCATTACGATAATTATAATCATAAAAGTAGCT